TACGGGAAGTTGTGCTGCATCAATCCCATGATAGTTTAACAGGAGAACATCTCGAAGCTAAGAAGACAGTGAGTCACCTACGACAGAGATTTTACTGGATATGTATGAGGCAAGATGTGGAGGAATGGTGCAGGACATGCAGTATATGTTGTGCTAAAAGGGGACCCCTAGCATAAGTTATATCAAGTTGGCACACCAATGGAAAGAGTAGCTGTTGACATTGCTGGTCCTTTGCCCCAAACTCGTGCTAGAAACAGGTACATTTGTGTGGTGATGGATTATTTCACCAAATGGCTTGAGGCATATGCAATACCAAACCAGGAAGCTACAACTGTAACTTCGGTTATTAGTGATTTCTTCTTCAGATTTGGTATACCATATGAACTGCATTCAGATCAAGGCCGTAACTTCGAATCAGCGGTGTTCCAAGAATGCTGTAAGTTGTTTGGCATCCGAAAGACCAGGACAAAGCCTCTTCACCCAAAGTCCGATGGGATGGTAGGAAAGTACAACTGGACATTGGGACAAGAATTGGCAAAGTTTTGTAATAGCCACCAAGATGACTGGGATGTTTAATCCCTCCACTGTTGATGACCTATAGGACAGCAGAGCATGAAGCCACTGGATACACTCCAGCAAAGTTGATGTTTGGTCGGGAACTTCATGTTGCCAGTGGATCTGTTAACAGAACGCCCACCTTATGAAGAGTTGCCTGAAAATGTGTCAGAATTCGTGAAAGTGTTATCAGAAAGGGTGGATGATATTCATCAAGTGCGTTCAAACTTGAAAACGTCTGCTGATTCCATGAAGCTATGTTATGATAAAAAGTCTACTGAAGTCAGCTTTTTAACAGGAGACAAGGTGTGGTTGTATATTCCCAAGAAGACCAAAGAGAAATCTCTTAAGTTGTCGTCTCCATGGGAAGGCCCATATGACATAGTGGATCGTCTCTCATACCTGACTTTTCGAATAAAATGTTGTCGGCGAGGTACGCCAAAGTTGGTGCATGCCAACAGGCTTTGGCGTTATCACGGTCGAGGACATTTCAGTTGGGACAAAGTGAACAACGGAACAAAAGATGCCACTGAATACAGGTCACCTGGAAAGGCCACTGTCAAAGAAGAAATTTTACTCGGTTTTGAGAAGGGAAACAGTGAAGCCCTTCATGAAGTTATTACCACTGATGTGACTATTACCGATAATAGGACAATTCCTGATGGAGCAGATAAATCTCACGTGAAGCAGAAGCCAGAACGGAAGAAGATATGTCCCGTAAAATTAAGAGACTTTGTGGAATTTTAATTTTGTGTTTGTAAATCTTGTACATTTAATTAAGTTATTGTTAATTATCTATTGGTTTAACTTAAGTGGCTATTGTTCGGGACAAACAATACTCTAGGAAGGGGCAGTGTTACGGCAGTGGAAGTCACATGATGCTGGTAACACGTATTGAGTATCTCGAACGTTCCTGAAAGCTCGAGAGTTTGCTAGAATCGCGCTTTTATATATATAAGACTGGCGAGAAGTGACGGCATAGATAATTGAATTGCAGTCAGGCAGAGATAGAGATGGGCAATTGAGTCAAGCGCAGTAGTAAGTAAAGTGCGTGAATCGTTTGTTGTGAGTTATAGCGTGTGTTGAAGTTAAAGTGACTGTAGAAATTAAGTGTATTGCAAAGTTGAATTGAGAAAGAATAAACTAGTTTTTTTTTTAAAGAAAAGACATATATTACTGAAGTTGTATCAAAGAAATTATACGGGCAATTAGCAAACGCCCAGAGATGTAACAGTACAATAAAGAAGGGATGAAAAGTGTGATATGCAGGAGTATTATAAGTTTTCTACCTGCTTCAATTATATAGGAATTTTAATTGTTTCTTCCATTTACTTAGTTTACATGCAGCTTTAACATAAACATGTGATTCAGAATGTCACTAAGATGACTTGTTCTAGTTGTTTTGATTCTTTGTTCTCTATTCTTGATAATGTCTGTTCTTCTCAAGATGTCATGGCCAGGTGGTTAGGGCGCTTGACTCGCAATCCCCGTTCCACCAAACATGCTCGCCCTTTCAGCCGTTGGAGCGTTATAATGTGGCGGTCAATCCCACTATTCATTGGTAAAAGAGTAGCCCAAGAGTTGGAGTTGGGGGTTGATGACTAGCTGCCTTCCCTCTAGTCTTACACTGCTAGATTAGGAAGAGCTAGCGCAGATAGTCCTCGTGTAGCTTTGCGTGAAATTCATAACAAACAAATAACAAATTTTCTCAAGATGATATTGCAGTAACATATAGCACCAGGATTGAAATAATTAAAATGAAATGTGTTACAACAAACTTTTCATTATTAACATATATAACGAAAATCGTTATTTCAGTATAAATGAAAAAAAGTGGGGTGGTTTGTTTTGAATTTCGCGTAAAAGTACACAACGGCTATCTGTCTCTAATTTAACAGAGAGAAGGCAGTTAATTACCATCACCCACTGCCAAATCTTGGTCTATTCTTTTACCAATGAATAGTGGGATTGACCATCATATTGAAAGGTCGAGCATGTTTGGTGTGACGGGGGTTTGAACCCGCGACCCTTAGATTGCGAGTCGAGTGCCCCTAACCAACTGGCCATGTCGGCCCAAAAACAACAGTGAAAATAATGTCAAACATGTTGTAATATGTTTTTATCTTTCTTGCAACTTTCAACCTCTTTACGTTCTTCAATCATCATCAGGTATGAAATAATAGTTCTTCAATTCAGCTAAGTGTACACTACAAAAGAACATTATAATCATGCAAAATAAGAATGAGATGAATATGCATTATTATTAGATGCTAAGAAACAATATCAAGGTGAATAAAAGCAAGTAATACTTTAAACTAGTGAAATAGTCATTCACTGTACAAAAAAAACAAAAAAAAACAACAATGCATTCTCTAACACATAGTAATACACGATGTTAAAGTATAGACAATTACCGGGTTAATATTGTTACGACAGCGGAAGTCACGCGACGCTGAGAGCATGTGCGCTGGAGATTTTAGAAGGATCATGACTTATCGGGGAACCTCGTTAATGTCCCAGTGTTTGCTAGACGCCCTCTTTTTTAGTATATAAGCCAGTGATAGATAGATATGCAGACA